GTGAAAGGAACTTTGCTAAGTAAATCTCTTCTGTGTTTGAACTGAAGTCTGTATTGTAACTATGTTTAAAGTAATTGTTCCAGAGACAAATGCTTCTAGACACCTTTTCATTAAAACAAAGCATTTGAAGGGAGGGGATTGGTGACTAAGACAAGAGGGGCAATCTGAAGAGATGAACCCTGCTCAGATCAGCCAAAAGCCACCAAGAAGTTAAGCACTGGATTCTCATTCCAAGTCAAGAGACTGAAGTTAATATGTTGCCATTTTCAAAGCTAACAGAACCAGGTTTTGTTCCACCCAATGGATTCTTTTGATTCCCCTTCCAAGATTATTACTACTATTGTTAATTTTAAAAAAAGACAAGGTCAGCTTTTTACAGGCAGGGAGGGGATGTAGGAGCAGAGCTGAGCTCACTGAGTAGGGAAAGACTGGGCCTGTGTTTGCTTCAAGAAGATGTCCCACTGAGGACACAGGTTAGGAAGGAGACAGAAAATTAATTAGCCACTCCTTGCCTAAGAAGGATAAGCCAAGGCAGTAGGCATTATTGTCTCCAAAGCATGTTTCAGGTACATAACCTGTCAGTACACTCCTTTCACACCCCCATGCTGTCCCTAGTGCATAGTACTAATCTGATATCTCAGCTCTCCACCATGCCTGGGGAATAAAATAATGGCAGAGGATTCGCTCCTTCAGAGTCCCAACAAAAGCTGGGTGTGAGATGCCCTCTTCTCTTTCCATGGCAAACATCTTCAGTAAAGCTGTTATCCTTATTATACATTGTTTCAGGCTCATATAAGAGGAACAGACCTGTGCTCCCTTAGAGCCTCTTGTGAGGATAGTGCTACCTGTAGTGACCAGTTGGCCATGGCATTTAGTAGCTGGAAGAACCAGACAGGGTACATGCTCCCTCCTAAATCCATGTTGCGCTCCCCTCTGCCAGCCTGAAGGGTGAGATCTGTAGGACAGTGCAGCCAGTGACAGGTCACCCTGTATTGAAAGATGTTGGCACCAGCTCAGAAAGCCCATCTGAGTTTAGGAGCAGGCACACAGGACACAGAGATCCAGGACAGGCATAACTGGAGGGGTCGGTCTTGAAAAGCCCTCTGTCGCATTCACCTTCAGTTTTTGTGTTTTGGGACAATTACTTTAGAAAATAAGTAGGTCGTTTTAAAAACAAAATATTGATTGCTTTTTTGTAGTGTTCAAAAAAAAGGTTCTTTGTGTATAGCCAAATGACTGAAAGCACTGATATATTTAAAAACAAAAGGCAATTTATTAAGGAAATTTGTACCATTTCAGTAAACCTGTCTGAATGTACCTGTATACGTTTCAAAAACACCCCCACTGAACCCTTGTAACCTATTTATTATATAAAGAGTTTGCCTTATAAATTTACATAAAAATGTCCGTTTGTGTCTTTTGTTGTAAAATCAAGTGGTTTTTCATAAGGTTCTTTTACTATTTGAAAAGATGGGCAGCACGTGGTTTTATTTTATTTTTGTAAGTTTTTTAATACATGTGAAAGCAAAGAATACTCAGCATGCCTTTCTAAGTGATGCGTTTGCACCTTTTGTTGGGAAGTACTGTATCCTGTGCTGTTAGCATTCTCGATAAACCTCTCTGTGAAAGTGACTCAAGGTCTGGGCTTTCATTATAAGTCAGCAGTCCCTTTTAGCTCACCTGACAGCATGATGGTGGGTTTGATCCAGCTATCCTTGAACCCCAATAAACTCTCAGTACTGGAGTGGGAGGGAAGGGAGGCCTGTCTCATATGTTGGCCTCCTTGGAATCTTCCTCAGTTTGCTCTGTGTCAATGCTTCCCAGGCACACTGCACTAACATGTGACAGGAAGGCCTGGGATGAGTGTGCCTAGAGCACAACTTCCCTCTCCTGACCAGTGTGGCAGGGGCAGCTACTGGGTCCTGGTATGCCACAGTGTTTTTTAACACCTTTCTCCTCAACTATGACTTCTATGAGTGGCTAACCTGCATTTCTGGCCAGGCTAGAGAATGCTGAGGAACTGCCTAAAGGGATCCCTTGTGTCATTGGTTTCCTATAAGAATATGAACCTTCTGCATCTGCCCACTCATTATAGCTGTCCTCAGACTAATCTGGCGTTGAGGAGAGGATAATGGGTGTGTCACATGCAATTGTGGGCAACCTAGTAAAAGTCACCTTCAAGTCCTGGCCTCGAATGTTAAATGAAAGGGTTGAAGATTCACCATGTAGACATAAAGCATCTACTGTGTGCCAGACCTATATCAGACACTGATAGCAATAATTTTGAATACTAAAGTTGGTGCATCTCAATAATGACTGACCATTGAGAAACCACTCTGTTCAACATATGGTTGACCTCTTGGGTTGTTCTGTTTGTTTGGCAGGGTCCAACTTCTAACCCAAGCTGACCTGAATAGGGTATAGGGTGATCTGCCTCAGCCTCCTAAGTGCTGAAATTACAGATGTGAGGCACCATGCCTAGCTTTGTTTTATTTATGACAAGGTCTCACTGTGTAGCTCTGGCTGGCCTAGAACTCTGCATAGTAAACCAAGCTGGCCTTCCTGCCTCTGCCTATGGAATGCTGGGATTACAGGCATGTACCACCACACCTAGTTTGACGTTATCCACCTAGTTTGACGTTATCGTGAGAGTAGTCAAATTGGCTGTGGTTTCAGAGAAGAGGCCAGAGTGGGAGCTAGCCATGGGCCTTGTGTAGACCTTTCTAGAAACAGTGTAAGTTTCTTAGAGGACAGACAAGTGAGAGGGAACCCTTTCTATCTAGAATCGGTATGACAAGAGGGTCTTGGAGAAACTGATCAGTTTCAGCTAGAAAATGGAAGGCCATGTTGCTGCCTATGGGAAAGTTCAGAGGTATGAAACTCCAAACAAGCTCAAGATGTGCCCGAGAAGAGTTAGGTGGGGTTTAGGACGCTTTCCCCACCACTTTTTATGCTCAATCTTGTCAGGAAGGGGTATATGCAAACTCAACCACAGAGACAGAATGAGAAGTGCTTTGTAGGATAGCCAACTAAAGAAGATTTGGGGGGGGGGGTTGGTCTTGGTCTTGTATCCCTGGCTGCCCTGAAACTCACTATTTAGACCAAACTAACCTCAAATTCACAGAGACCCTCCCAGAGATCCATCTGCCTTTGTTTTCCAAGTGCTAAAATTAAAGGTGTGGACCACCAAGCCAGACAGCAAGGAGTTCTTAATGGCTTAAGGCGGTTGTATGTAAATTCAGGTAGGTGGGCAGTGGCTGGCTACACCACCTTCCAAACAGCCATAAAGAGCTGGGACCATATGGGAGGGCTTTGGGAAGGTCTTCTATAAGAAAGTGATTTGGTGATTTGTTCCTGAGGCTTACCAGAGGCATAAAGTTCATGCAGGTAAGTGATATTGACTAATGGTAAGTGTAGGCATACCAAAGAGTTCCACAATAGCCCAGAATGGAGTATACAAAGGTTTATTTGAGAATAAAGTCATAGTAAGGGTAGCAATCCACAGTCCTCTATGTGCTGGGAACTGGGAACCTAATCCAGAAAAAAAAAGAAAAAAGAGGGCTGCACACACTTATAGTACCTGAGACCACGTCCAAAATGGGCCAGTAGCTAAAAGGCTATTGGCTGAAAGTGTTCCCACAACACCTCCCCCTTTTGTCTAAATAAGAGGGTTCTAAGGCTAATGCAAAACTGTATACAGTAAGAACAACTATCAAGTATAAAACTATATACAATAAGAACAAATATCAAGTATTTTCCAAGGAAAAGAGGCAAAAACATACATAAAAATTAGAATTACAACCAGCATGAACAAACAAGAAACATATGTTAAATGTTTCGATAGTTATCCTGTTCTAAGGAGTCTAAGCCTTATATTTAAAATGGCTTGGCTAAGTCATGAGAGGAAACTAACTATGACTATCTAGTCTTCAACCCATCAAAGACCTGAGAAGGGAAATATTCCTTGAGTAAACAGGAAGTGCAATCAAGCAACTTCCAAAAGGTGAAAGATGCTTTTCGTGTGCACTTATAGTACTTGAGACCACGCCCAAAATAGGCCAGTAACTAAAAGGCTATTGGCTGAAGGAGTTCCCACAATAGCTAAGAGTAGTGGACACATGGGAAGAGGACTTCAGAGAGTAGAGTGGGACCATAGGAAAGTAGTGTGCACTGAGGCCATGGAGTGACAAAAAAAAAAGCCAAAGAAATCCCTGAATGGAGAACATTAGAGTGGGCAAGAAATACTCTTGTGGTGAAGGTAGAGTCACTGGCAACTGCTCTAGAAAAGAGTAGGGGAGGGTGCTAGACTCTAGTTTCCTCATGAAGAAAAGAGCAAACTAAGTCAAAAGTGTGACAGAAAACGGAAAGGGATGGCAAAAGCTAGACATCATGAACATGGGGACAGAACAAGGCTCTGTTAAGAGACATAAGTGTGTTGGTTAGCAAGCTAGTGAGGAGCCTGCACAGGCAGATACTGTGAAGATCCTGGAGGCGTGGGTGGGGGTGAAATCTAGCACACAGGCGGCGGCGGCATAGTGTGCAATCTTCCATTCTTTGAACATCCATCCTTACCACCAGATGACTAGAGTCAGCCAGAGGGCCATTTTGTGACCCACATTTGACCCTGCTCTACCAACATTTCAGCCAATTCTCCACGGCCCCCCAAATAAAGCCAAAAGGAGCCTCTCCGTGACTTTCACCAGGCTTGATAAAAATCATCTTTGTAGAACATCGTCTCTTTCCTATGCCCTTTGTCTCCAGAACTGGAAGTCGTTCTTCATCCTGCTCAGTCCTATTCAGAAGGTCCCCACTCCTGGAAGCCCACCCTCTGTGTAGGATCACAATCCTCGGTTCTTACGAGGGGTACGCCCTCCTGCCTGGCAGAGCTCCTTCCCCCTGGTAGAGGACGGCATGGGACGCCCCCGTGTGGCCTAAGGCCGCGGAGGGCAAGATGGCGACGAGCCCGAGCACCGCCTCTTCCGCCCTCCCGGGCGTTGCACGAGGCCGGCGTGAAGGGGAAGTGAGTCAGTGTTTGTGGACCCGGCCGGCTCAGGCCCGCGCCAGCCGAGGCCCCGAGAGGCCCCGGCCCGGCGGCGGCGTCAGCCATGGCCGGGGGGCCGGGTCCTGGGGAGCCTGTGGTTCCCGGCGCCCAGCACTTCTTGTACGAGGTGCCACCCTGGGTTATGTGCCGCTTCTACAAAGTGATGGACGCCCTGGAGCCCGCCGACTGGTGCCAGTTCGGTGGGTGACGACAGGCCGGCGTGGGGCAGGGGACCCGGGCTTCTGGCGCTAAAGCCTGACGTTCCCCGCCCCGCAGCGGCCTTGATTGTGCGCGACCAGACAGAGCTGCGGCTGTGTGAGCGCGCCGAGCAGCGCACAGCCAGCGTCCTGTGGCCCTGGATCAACCGCAACGCGCGCGTGGCTGACCTCGTTCACATCCTCACGCACCTGCAGCTGCTGCGTGCGCGGGACATCATCACAGCCTGTGAGCGAGCGTGGCCCCAGGGACCCTAGGGACGGGAATCCATGGGGGGTGACGGGTACAGAGCCTCCCAAGACAAGGGACTATATGGGAACCCGTCCCTACACACACACACACACACACACACACACACACACACACACACACACACACACACACAGGAGGTGACGGGTACAGAGCCTCCCGAGACAAGGGACAACACATACAGAGACCGAGACAAACTTGAATCACAGCCCTCCTCTCCTTCCTTATTATCCCAGGGCACCCTCCTGCCCCTGTTCTGCCCCCAAGCACTGCTGCTCCAAGGCCCAGCAGCATCTCTGCGGGCTCCCAAGCTGAAGACTGGAGCCCCCGGAAACTGCAGTCCTCTGCCTCCACCTTCCTCTCCCCAGGTAAAAAGAACCTGGGTGTTGGGCTTGATAGGCCTGAAGAAAAGGCCACCATGACTGTTGAGATGGCTGTAGACTGCTGCTGGTCTCTGCCTCTCACTGGCATCTTTATGAAGCTTTTCCAGGCTCCCAGACCTATTCTGAACCAGAGCTCCTCCAGGTTCCAATCCCTGCTTCCCTCAGGCCACCACTGCCATCTTCAGCCCCTTCCTGTAGTAAGGTAGGTGTCCTTTAACCCCCAGGGAAAATTCCAGACAAGGAGGAAGAAACTAAGCTTTTGGTGTGCCACAGAGCCCACAACAGCACAGCCAGGTCATCTGAGAGACAACCAGGGTTGAGGGGAGCTTGCAGCCTGGACCAAGAATAGACAGGGTCCTCACCTGATCCATGGTCTCTTCCAACAGCCAAGCCCAGAGACCCCAATGTCTGACCTCCAAAGGACACATCCCTCCCCATTTTGCTGGCCCTTCTGTGAGATTTCCCAAGGCACCTGCAACTTCTCTGAAGAGCTCAGGATTGGAGAGGGTGGTTTTGGGTGTGTGTACCGGGCAGTAATGAGAAATACCACATATGCTGTGAAGAGACTGAAGGAGGTAAGTGTAACCGTGGGGTAGCCACCTGGAAGACAGTCCATCAGCCCTTGTTTGTCCAGTTTCTCCCTCCATCAGCCCTCACTTCTGCAGTCCCCTGCCTCCAGCCTCCCCAAGCAATTCCTTCAGTCCTCTGATTCCAGTTCAAGGACCCCAAAGCCTTCCATTGTTATGGGCCTGGAAACAGCTGGCAAGCTTGGCTCATGCTGCCTACTTTCCCTGCCTCTTACCCCACCATGTCTGGGGCTGCAGGAGGCTGACCTAGAGTGGACTGTGGTGAAACAGAGCTTCTTAACAGAGGTGGAGCAGCTGTCAAGGTGAGCCTTGGGGGTCCTTCCTGTCTGGGGGGCACAAGGAGAGATCCACACCAGGGCCTCATCAGTCTCTAGGACTGTACAGAACAAGAACTAGCTCCCTTGAGCCCACAAGGCCTTGCCAGGCCCAGGTGAGGGAACCCATCCATCAAAGGCTGTGCACCCAGCCTGGCCTGATGAAAAGTAGTGGGGCCCAAAGAGCAAAAGAACTCAGACTCCACCCAGCAGTGGTGGCGCATACCTTTAATCCCAGTACTCAGGAGGCAGAGGCAGGTGGATCTCTGTGAGTTCGAGGCCTACCTCTTCTACAGAGTAAACAGCCAGGGCTGTTAAACAAAGAAACCCTGTCTTAAAAAAAAAAAAAAAAAAAAACCAAAAAGAACTCAGACTCCTCTCTTTGTAACAGGTTTCGTCACCCAAATATCGTAGACTTTGCTGGCTACTGTGCAGAAAGTGGTTTCTACTGCCTTGTTTATGGCTTCCTGCCCAATGGCTCCTTGGAGGATCGACTCCATCTTCAGGTAGTCCCAGCTGGTCTGGCATCTTTACTGGCTGGTCCCTTAGCTCATGTCAGGCAGTACCTGAGCTTCTGGCTCCCCCTCAAACTCAAGGTTTGGCCCAAGGGTTTCTTTCTTCCTTTTTATTTGCTTGTTTGTTTGAAACAATCCCTCACTACGCAGCCCATGCTGGCCTCAAACTGGCAATTCTCCTGCCTCAGTACCCTCTGTGCTAGAATTATAGGCATGTGCCATTATACCCATTTTGGCCCAAGATTTTCCATACAATTCTTCTGGCCTCTCCCCTGCTGTTCCTCTAAAGAGGGGGTTATTCACATTGCAAGCAGAATAGATAAAAGATTTAGTCCACATAGCTCTTGAGGGATGTGGATGAGTAGAGACAGGCTATCTAACTGAACCCGAGGTTGAGCCATGCCTGAGTGTCATACTCACAAGCCATCATACATACAGGGTAAGAACTTCCTTCCTTCTTGATTAATCTGTGGTAGGGAATGATGGGAGAAGGGCATCAGTACTTTCTGTGCACTCAGGTGAACCCGAGCCTATCGGATTCTGTCCTGAGTCCTGAGAAATATTCTCTAGCTATTATTCCAGCTGTAGAGTACTTGCCAAAGCCTTGGGAATAGTTTTAGTCACCACATGCTCATTAATTAGGTCATGGACAGTCTTGCTCCTCATTCTCCAGAAAGGAAAAACTAAGGCTCAGAATAAAACGGATAGCTTGCTTCGAGCCACAGAGTGACAGGTGAGAAGATTGAGAGTCAAAGAACAGCTGCCCCCAACTGCCCTTGTGTCTCCATCTTTGCCACTCCAGACCCAGGCCTGCTCCCCCCTCTCCTGGCCTCAACGACTGGATATTCTTCTGGGCACAGCCCGAGCTATTCAGTTTTTACATCAGGACAGCCCTAGCCTCATCCATGGAGACATCAAGAGGTAAGGAGGGGCTCAGATAGCTGTAGGAACAGTCTTATAGCTAGGAGAACAGTGGCCCGTGGTCAATTAGCACTCCTATTCTGAGTGCCTCTGTGAGATTCCTCGTGCCCAGTCCTGTACTTGGGGCTCTGAGCACCCCTGCATGGTGCACGTATGGAAATGGAGCGAGTGATAGGCCCAGATGGTGAGCAGAAGCCAAACTATGTGATAGGGCCCTGGGACAGCTAAGCCCTCAAACAACTGGGATGTGGTGTCAGTCACTTTTTCTATTCAGTGTGCCAGGCTGGTAGCCTTTAGTCTAATTTACCAGGGCTGCTTGAGTGTGGGGGACAGAGAATGCTAGGACCAGCCTAAACTGCTGCTATTCTTCCTTCTCCAAGTTCTAATGTGCTTCTGGATGAGAGACTGATGCCCAAGCTTGGAGACTTTGGCCTGGCTCGTTTCAGCCGCTTTGCAGGGGCCAACCCAAACCAGAGTAGTACTGTAGCCCGGACTTGCACAGTACGGGGTACCCTTGCCTACCTACCTGAGGAGTATATCAAGACAGGCCGGCTGGCTGTGGACACTGATACCTTCAGCTTTGGAGTGGTGAGCCACCAGCCCTTCTGTTAGCTTGGGGAAGGAAAACCACCAGTAAGTAAATGTAGAAAAGCCTAGAAAATTCTAGGCTTAGGTCACTGAGAAGCTAGCATAACTTTGGCCCTATACAACTCCCTCCTCCCTAGCACAAAGTTGTGTTTGTTATTTTATATCCTAATTGCTTTAGCTTTGTTCCCATAACATAACTCTGTCCTTGCTGGGAGTTAGTCTTTACTCTTTACCTGCCTGTCCAAAGACCACTCTCCCATTAGCCCTGATCTATCCCCCACTCTACAGTCCTCTTTTCTGCTAAGACCTGGGGTGATGCTCTTCATCCCACCCTCTAGGTAATACTGGAGACCCTTGCTGGTCAGAGGGCTGTGAGGACACAAGGTACCAGGACCAAGTATCTGGTGAGACTCCTGAGGTGGTGCATGGAAGGAGGGGGGACAGCAGCAAGCAGTGGGTGTAGCCCCAGAGGGTGCAGTGATACAGATCCTCTGCAGTGCCCCACAGCAGCCTGCCACTGCCACTGCTGACTCATCTGTGGAAGTGGGTGAGTCTCCAAGCAGTTTCTTTTACCTTGCTTGGAAAAACCTGTCTTTCTTCTATATGTGGACCTTGGGGCTAGAGATGTAACCTCAGTGGTAGAGTGATTGATTACCTTATTGCAAGGCCTGGGTTCCATCCCCATCAAAGAGGAAGAAAAGAATCTTAACAGGACCCCCTCTGCCCTGGGCTGGGGACAAAGAAACGGACATTCGTGATACCCTGAGACCAAAGCTGCAGTGGAACTCAGAAAAGGCAGGGCCTAGGAAAGGCAATGGGGAAAAGTTAGGCTGTTGTATGGAACATTCCTGTGCACTGAGATGGGGCTTAGAAATAAGAGACTTAAAGCCTAGCATCTGAGCACATGCTTTTAGTCCCAACATTTAAGAGTCTGAGGCAGGAGGATTGCTGGGAGCTACATAGCAAGACCCTCTATCAGAAACAGCAACAAAATTAGTCGATTATGGTGGCACATGCCTATAATTCTAGCACTTGGGAAACAGGAATTCAAAGTTATCCTCAGTTGCACAGTAGTTCAACATTAGCCTGAGCTACATGGAACCCTGACTCCACAAACGTACAAAGAAGAGGCAAGAAACCTGGGTTTTAGTCCCATCTTGATAGTGGCCCTGGTTCAAATTCCTGTTCTTCATTGGGCCTCAGTTTCCCATATAGAAAACAGATTTCAATACATAAGCACTATTCCAACAATTCCTGGACCCAGAACACCTTGGCTCATACTAGGTCTTCACCTTTTACAGAGTTGTACATCTCCTGTTGCTTCTCCTGGATAGGCCTATCTTTGTCCACTGTTGGGCTTAGCAGGGGGTTTAACACAACCAACAAACTATGAACCAGACTCTACCCATCCCTCCTTCCTTCAACTTCTTCATCCATTTGCATATCCCAGCTCAAGTGCCACTTGCTCAGGTCCCATGGTCCTTGCTAACAGACTAATTGGTTTGTTGGCATCTACTTCCCACACTGCCAGGAATGTCAGGTCTCTAAAACAAGGCCCAGAGTGCTTGGTTTGTGGCTGTTTTCAGTAGAGCCTCAGACAGCAGTGGGCTCACAGTGAAAAAAGACCATAGGGCTAAGCAACAGTGGTCTGGAAGATTTGGCAGAGCCATGCTCACAGTATTTATCCTACAGAAAGACCTCATTGAAGATGAGGCTGAAGAGGCTGGAGTGGCCCTGAAAAACACCCAGCCCAATCCGCAGGTGGGTGTGGCCACGGATGTGTGGGCTGCTCCAATCGCCGCCCAGATCTATAAGAAGCACCTGGACTCCAGACCTGGACCCTGCCCACCACAGTTGGGCCTGGCCCTGGCTCAACTAGCTTGTTGCTGCATGCACCGTCGGGCCAAGAAGAGGCCACCCATGACCCAGGTATCCCTGGGGAAGCCAGCTATCCATAGGGACATAGTGACCAGCCAGAAACCTCAGATTCTTGCCCTTCTTGATAGCACAAGCTACACTGAGCCTGATCTCTTTACAGAGGCAAAACTCTCAGCATACATTCCTTGCTTGCCCTTTTGGCTCTTCTTTGGGGCGGTACTCTGTGGAACTAAGCGGTGAAGGGCTGCAGCTTCGCTGGGTGGGGCTCAGATCCCAGTCAAAGGTAGAATCAAAGGGCTCTTGCCATGCCTCCTAGTTGGGGCGCTGTGTCACCACCTTTGTCTTTTTCTCTTACTTTCTGCCTCTTATTCTGGTGATAATTGAGATTAGAATTTATTAATGGCTTTGGTGGCCATGAATTGCAACAGTCCTTGTGATGGAACAAAGGGGCAATATTTTCCCAGCAACAGAGTGCACCAATTTGGTGTTCTCTGCTGTTCCTACAGCTGTCTGGTGCCTGCGTTGGCAACCTGAATAAAGGCAAGTCTAGGACAACCTGGAACAGCTCTGTAGTTTGACCACAGGGTGTCAAACTTGAGCTACCCTGTCCAAGCAGGAGCCCCAGCTCTGCCCATCCTGAGAGCCTCTCTCTCCACGCAGGTGTACAAGAGGCTAGAGGGGCTGCAGGCAGGGCCTCCTTGGGAGCTAGAGGTTGCCGGCCATGGCCCACCTTCCCCACAAGAGAACTCCTACATGTCCACCATTGGCTGTGTCCAGAGTGGGGGTGAACCATGGCAGCCTCTGGTAGTGCCCAAAAGAGCCCATGTCCAGGCTGCCCAACAACTCCAGAAAAGCCCCAACCAGCCAGTGGAGAGTGATGAGAGTGTTCCTGGCCTCTCTGCTGCCCTGCACTCCTGGCACTTGACTCCAGGTTGCCACCCAAGCCCAGCATCCTTCAGAGAGGCTAGCTGTACCCAGGGGAGCACCACCAGAGAATCAAGTTTGAGGAGTGGCCCAGGCTTCCAGCCCACAACCATGGAAGGTATCTTTGGGGATGGATATCCCAAGGTGGGACAAGGATCTCCTTTGATAATAACATATTTATTCCCCACCCATGTCTTCTGAGCAGAGAGATCTAGAGTTAAATGTTTGGCCCTCTGTGACCTTAGCAAGCTCAAAGACATGGAAAGGGCCACAAAGAGTGGCTTGGGTACTGTCTTATTTCCCCTCGCTGGGCTATGCTCCCTACATGGGTGAGAAGAACTAGGAACTCCCTTTTTAGCCCTTCTCCTCACCTTATGCCTGAAGTCAAAAGTAAAGAAGGCTCTGCCCAAGCAGCCTAGGAGCCTGGTTTGTGGTGTGGTCCCTCTCCCAGCCTGGGCCTCAGTTCACTGTGAAATTCTACCCTGCAGCCAATATCACAGGCAGTGGGGGGCTAAGAAGACTCTGGGGGCTAGAGTTGTCACTCAGGGTTGCCAGGGAAAACTAAGAGATTACTGTCTCTGCCCAGGCTCATCCATGGGCAGCTCCTCCTCCTCATCAGAACCACCACAGATCATCATCAACCCAGCCCGACAGAAGATGGTACAGAAGCTGGCCCTGTATGAGGAGGGGGTCTTGGATAGCCTGCAGCTGCTGTCATCAGGCTCTTTCCCAGGTACCTGGATACCTCCAGCTCAGCTTCCTAAAGAATGAACCCCCAAAGAGCCTCCAACCCCTGTCATACACATATGTACACAAGCTCATACACTGTAGTTCCAGGGCACACAGGCATACTTCCTTGTGTCAACCCGCTAAACAGCAGAACATTTGTTCTGACTGCACAATTAAGATCCCTACTCATCGAGAATGTAGGACAGGCAGGCCATTCCCTCTAATGATGGTTGGCAATGAGCTGTCAAGAAATGCCTGGCTCAATCTCTTACTCCCCATCAAGAGCACATTCCCTTCACCTATGGGTACCAGTCTCCTCCCACATGCTCCCCGAAAACCTGAAGTTCCAGCAGGAATGTACCACCCCATGTACTATTTGAAAAGCTGCTGTTTAGAAAAAGAAGTCCTTAGCTGAGCATGAGAGAGCGCCTGTAAAGGTCATCCTTGGCTATATAGAAAGTTTGAAGCCAGGCTAGGATACATTAGACCTTGAGTCAGAAAACAAACTACTGGGCTGGAGAGATGGCTCAGTGGTTAAGAGCATTGCCTGCTCTTCCAAAGGTCCCGAGTTCAATTCCCAGCAACCACATGGTGGCTCACAACCATCTGTAATGAGGTCTGGTGCCCTCTTCTGGCCTACAGACATACACACAGACAGAATATTGTATACATAATAAATAAATAAATATTTAAAAAAAAAAAAAGAAAAACTACCATGCTGAAGAGATTGTTCAGTGGGTAAGGGCGTATGTAAGAGTTTTTGCAGATGACCTGGCTTCAGTTCCCAGAATCCACATTAGGTAGTTTACAACCACTTATAACTTCAGTCCCAGGGGATCTGAGTCTCTCTTCTGGCCTCCACAGACACCTGTGTAATAAGGTGCACATAAAACTCACCCAGGCACACACATATAAAAATAAATATCTTATTGTCAAAAAGCAAACTAACAAAAAGACAGCACCTTGGTTCCAAAGAGTACCCTGAGCTGGGCAGTGGTGGTGCACACTTTTAATCCTAGCACTCAGGAGGCAGAGGCAGGTGGGTCTCTGAGTTTGAAGCCAGCCTGGTCTACAAGTAAGTTCTAGTACAGCTAGGGCTACACAAAGAAACCCTATCTCAGACTACACAAGCAAACAGGAAAAAAAAAAGTGCCCTGTAAGTTTTATAGTCATGGTTTAGCATTCAAGCCAGGGCATTTGAAAGACGTTGTCCCCGACTTGCTAAGAGGTATTTTCTCTTCCATAGGCTTGGATTTAGAACCTAAAAACAGGCAGGGGCCTGAAGAAAGTGACGAATTTCAGAGCTGATTTGCCTGTTCACCCAGGCAAGTCCTTCAGACTCAGATGTCAAAGTTCTCATGGTTGGAAGTTCTCATGATGTGCAACCTCCTCAGTAGCCCAAAGGCATCAGGTGTGGGACCTACCCTGGCGAAGGAGAAAGTGCTGGACCTGCTGTTCTCAGGGTGCAAGCACAGGCAGGGCCAACTGAAGAGCCTGCAAGAAACTGATAGGGCAGGCCAGCATTTGGGAGCAAGGCCAGCAGAGCACCTAAGGGATGGGGTAGCACATGACAAAAGACTGCTAGCTACGTGGGACCCATGGAGGCAAGTGAGGCTGTTTGTATGGTGGGAGCTGGCTCCCTTGAGAGCTAGACAAGGTATCTGCAGCCCAGGCTTGCAATAACTGTTCGTCCATCCCTCTGAACTTTCCTAGACCCCCAAGAGAAAGTAGCTATTGTGCTTGTAAATTGCAAAACTGAGTGTCTTTCAGTTCAGTCCACTAGCTGGAAGTGAGAACTCTGAGGTTTCCCTAAGAGTCCAATAGAATCCCCCTCCACATCTTGGGTGGGTATGTGCTCGCTTTGCCAGACACCTGTGAGCTGGTTTCATGTGACTGCCTACTAGGCAGGTTGTCTCTAGACCCTGGAGGTGAGCTGTGGATGACCCAAGTTGAGCTGTAAAACAAGGTACTGGTTATGGCAGAAAGGTCTAGCAAAGCCAAGCTTTGTGGTACCCAGACAGTGAGGAGCCCATAAAGCAGAAACTGAGAGCAAAAAAAAAAAAAAAAAAAAAAAAAGTATTTGAGGAGGGAGGAAGGCTCCATTTTAAGAAGCAAGTTTTTGTGTAACCAAGTGTCTTCAAAAGTAACCCAGGGTTATAGCCCAGGCTTACAGTGATTCTGTGTTGAGTCACGAGTCACACTACATGCCCCGTGAAGCACTGGTAACATCCAGTTTGTCCTAGAGTAATAAAAGTGCATTTTATGTCTGATTAAGCTTGTTGATTAAGAATTTGTTGCACTAAAAGCTTTGTGCTTTTCTAATACTTTACATCCTGATTCTTGGGTATCCAGTCAAACTTCAGGCCCCTACTGTTAGCATTTAGGCATCTGTCCTGGCCTGTCCTGACATGAGACATCCTCAGCTGCAGCCACTAAGAGCACCTCCTATGCACATTTGCTACATCCCCCTTATAAAAGGTGGGCCTTGCCCATCTCCCCTCTCTTTCTTTCTCTTCCTCTTCCTCTCTTTTTTTCTTCCATGAATCTTGTCCCCAGGGACCACTTTCTGCCCCTTCTCTGCCCCCTTCTTTCTCCTCTTGCAATAAACCTTCCATGTGAACCCTGTTGCATGGTATGATTTCTCTTCATGGCATTTTTAAATAAATTACAATACTTAGCCTCTTTTTATTCTCTTGCCATGCCCAGACTGGGGATAAATCCCCAGTTGTGCTACCCTTGCTTTCATGTGCCATTAAGTTTTTCTTATAGATCCCATGGGTATTAATGCTATTCGAAATGAAACTTTCATGTCCTAATTATTCATCAATCATATATAGAAATATAATTAAGTTTTACCTCTGATCTTTATTCTGTGACCTTACTTAAATGCACTTACTAGTTCCACTTGTTTTGGGATGACTATTCTGGGATAGTGTGTATACAATCTTCCCATCTGAAAATAAAGACAATTTTACTTTTTCTTTGCCAACTTATAAGCCTTTTAATTTTTATTTTAGACAAGGTCTCACTATGTAGTCCTGACTGTTCTGGATCTCAATATGTAGACCAGGCTGACCTCAAACTCAGGAGATCCTCCTACCTCTACCAAGGTATGTACCACCATACGCAACTGCCTTTTTATTTTTTTCTTCACTTACTATACTGGCTAGTGCCTATAAATTTTGGATATAAGTGGGAAACCCCTCCCACTCTTAGAAGTTCTTTTTTTGTTTGTTTTTTGAGATAAGATTTCTCTGTATAACAAACAGTCCTGGCTGTTCTGGAGCTAGATAGAATTGTCTTACAGCTAAATGTGCCATTAACTGTATTTTTAAAGCTTGTCCTGGCTGTCAGAATTTGTGTTCTAAAGGTTAAATTGTAAGAGGAATGATTCAAATTAATACTTCGGAGTCTCTTAAGATATACATGGAATTTCCCTCCATTCTGTTCATGCAGTGATCACACTGATTTTGAAATGTTAAACTGGATTCATATCCTTGCTTGGTCACTGCATGTTCTTTTTGTTGTGGTTTTTGCCAAATTCCATTTAATAACATCTTATTTTTTGTTTTTCATTTATTTGTTTTTCTTTCCTTTTTTTCTGGTTTTCGGAGGCAGATTCCCACTAGTAGCCCTCTCCAACCTTGAACTCACTCTGTAGACCAGGCTGGCCTTGAACTCACAGAGATCTGCCTGCCTCTGCCTCCTGAGTGCTTGGATTAAAGGTGTGTGTCCTCCCTCCTCTGTGTGTATGTGTACACAGCTTTAAACCATCTCACCAACCTGTATATTCCATTTTTGTACCTATATTCATTACAGATACTTGTACTGTAGCTTTCTTGTAATATCTTTCTCTGATTTTGGTAACTGAGCCTCAGAAAAATAAGTTGGAAAATATTCTGTCCTCCTTTTGTTTAAATAGTTTAAGCATACTTGGTATTGTTTTTTATATATTTCATAGGTTTACTAGGGAAGTAATTTGAAGGGAAGCTGTTTATGTCCCACCCTGTCCCACAGCTGTTCAGTCCCAAAGAAACACACAGAGGTCTACATTAATTATAAACTGGTTGGCCTATTAGCTCAGGCAGGCTTCCTATTAACTAACTCGTGCATCTTAAATTAACTCATAATTCTTGTCTGTGTTAGCTACATGGCTTGGTACCTTTTATCAGTAAGGCATTCTCATCTTGCTTCTTCTGCGTCTAGCTTACAACTGCATCTCTGCCTTTTCTCTTCCCAGAATTCTCCTAGTCTGGTCACCCTGCCTATATTCCCTGCCTGGCTACTGGCCAAATCAGCATTTTATTAAACCAATACAAGTGACAAATCTTTGTAGGGTACAAGAGCATTGTCCCACAGCAGGAAGCCATTTGAACCTAGAATATTCTTTAATATTGATTCAGTTTGGGTGTTGTTTTGTTTTGTTTTTTTGAGAAAAGATTTCCTCTGTGTAATCACTCTGACTGTCCTGGAACTCACTCTGTAGACCAGGCCATTCTCAAACTCACGTAGATGCCTCTGCCTCTGGAATGCTGGGATCAAAAGCATGAGCCACCATACCTGCCTAGGGTACATTTCTTGTTGTTGTTTCATTGGTTGGCTGGTCAGTCGGTTGGTTTTGGTGGTTTTGTTTATTTTGAAGGTGTGCTTTTGTCCATTCAGGTTGTGTTTTTTGAATCAATGTTGATCATTTGTGTACTTAACCTCCTTTAAGGATTTTTCTATCTCATATAATTTAATTAAAATCATACTAACTCATACTTTAATTTTTATTGTTTTTATTAACCTATATATTTTTCTCCACTCCCCACTCCCCTCCCTTTCTCCGCCTCCCCTTCAACCCTCTCCCATGGTCCCCATCCTCCCAATTTACCCAGAAGATCTTGTCTTTTTTTTTTCTACTTCTCATGTAGATTAGATCTATGTAAGTCTCTCTTAGGGTCCTCATTGTTGTCTACGTTCTCTGGGATTGTGATTTGTAGGCTGGTTTTCTTTGCTTTATGTCTAAAAGCCACTTATAAGTGAGTACATGTGATAATTGTCTTTCTGGGTCTGGGTTACCTCACTCAATATGATGTTTTCTAGCTCCATATATTTGCCTGCAAAATTCAAGATGCCGTTATTTTTTCTGCTGTGTAGTACTCCATTGTGTAAATGTACCACATTTTTCTTATCCATTCTTTGATTGAGAGGCATTTAGGTTGTTTCCAGTTTCTGGCTATGACAAATAAGGCTGCTATGAACATAGTTGAGCACATGTCCTTGTGGCATGATTGAGCATCCTTTGGATATATACCCAAAAGTGATATTGCTGGGTCTTGAGGAAGGTTGTTTCCTAATTTTCTGAGAAATCGCCACACTGACATCCAAAGGGGTTGTACCAGCTTGCATTCCAACCAGCAATGCAGAAGTGTTCCCTTTTCCCCACAACCTCTCCAGCATAAGTTGTCATCAGTGTTTTTGAACTTGGCCATTCTTACAGGTGTAAGATGGGATCTCAGACCAACTCATACTTTTAACATCTATGGGCTCTGTTGTAAGAGCTGTTATTCCAAGTACTGGTAATGTTTCTTTTTCTTTCTTTTTTTCTTTTTCTGGGCACAAGCAGTCCTCTTAACCCAGTCTTTCCCTACCTTCCTTATTTTCTGGGTCATCTTAGAATAAAATAATGATAATTTTAAATGACTAATTTGGGGGATCTCATTAATTTTTCTGAATTATTTGTTTATTTTCTATTTTGTCAATTTCCTTTTTTGTGGGCTGGTATCTAAAAGGCTGTTGGCTGAAGGAGTTCCTACAGCACCCCCCCTTTTGTCTAAATGAGGATTCTAAGCCTAATACAAAACTATATACAATAAGAGTTCCCACAACACTTTTATTTTTTGTGTTTCTTATTGTAATTTGATCATCTTTTTCCAGTTAAGTTGGGTACAGCCACACTGATTTTAAAAATGCTTATGGCTGAGGGCTGGAGAAATGGCTCAGCCACTAAGAGCACTGACTGCTCTTCCAGAGGACCCAGGTTTAATTTCTAGTACCCACATGGCAGCTCACAACTGTCTATAACTCCAAGATCTGACATTCTCACACAAACATACATGTAAACAAAACACCAATGCACATGAAATAAAATAATTTTAAAATGCTATGGTTTTGAGATTTTTACTATTATTTTTCAAAACTATCCTTATTTTATGTATATGAATACCTGAATGTATGTACGTGCACAACGATTTTGCCTAGTGTCAGAAGATGTGGGTCCTGTACCACCTGGAACCACTATCAGGTAAGGGTCTGGGGAGTAAAGAGCACATGGAGATCACTCTTGAAACAAGAATGCTAATTTATTATGTTCCAGGGCAGCTTATATAGTGCTCTCCTTGATTAGTGGCCATGCCCTGGCTCTCAGGATTTTCTACTGGAAGCCCACCAGAAACCACTTCCTTGTTCTCAGGAACTCATGAGGATCTCGTGCTCAGAGCAGCTGCAAGCATAGGAAAACAAGTTGTTTACTCCAGCAGGCAAAGGGTCATACAAAGTTCAGGGTCTGAGGGTCTGTAGCTCCTAACAGGAAGAGACCAAAATGTGGCATTGGAGTCCCTGGAACTGGAGTTACAAGGAGTTGTGAGCCATCATGTAGATTCTGGGGACCAAATGAAAGGACTTGAAACAAGTGTACCTGCAAAGCCATCTCTCCAGCCCTATTTTGTTGTTGTTGTTGTTTTGGTTTTGATTTTTTGAGACAGGGTTTCTCTGTGGCTTTGGTGCCTGTCCTGGAACTACCTCTTGTAGACCAGGCTGGCCTTGAACTCACAGAGATCCGCCTGCCTCTGCCTCTCAAGTGCTGAGATTAAAGGCGTGAGCCACCACCACCTGTCTCTAGCCCTGTTTTTACATTTTTAATTATGTATACTTGTGAGTGCCTACATGTTAGTATGTGCATGTGAATGCAGGTGCCCTCGGAGGTCAGAGGCATCCTCTCCTCCTGGAACTGAAGTTAGAGACAGTTCTGAGATACCTGATGTGTGCTAGGAACTGAACTCAGGTCCTCTAGAAAAGCAGTAAGCACTCTTAACCACTGAGCTTTCTCTCCAGTCCCCTGCTTGGGTTGTTTGCTTGTGGTGGTGGTGGTGGTGGTGGTGGTGGTGGTGGTGGTGGTATGTGTGTCTCTGTATGTACCACAGCGCATGTGCTGAAATCAGAGGATTGCTTGTGGAAGTCAGTCCTCTCCTTCCACAATGTGGGTCCTGAGGATCAAACAGGTCATCAAGCGAAAGTGCCAAGCATCTTTACCCTTTAGGTCAGTGGTCCTCAATCTTCCTAATTAGTTGTAGCCCTTTAATACAGTTCCTCATGTTGTGATGACTCCCAGCCATATCACTGCTATTTCACAACTGTTATGAATCATAATGTAAATATTTGATATTTGACCCCTATGAAGGGGTCATTCAACCCTCTGAAGGATTGCAACCCATCAGTTGAGAATTGTTCCTGCTTCAGGCCGTCTACCAGCCCCTTAAAACTCATTGTTTGAGACAGTATAGTGGTATTTTATTTGTGTTTTAATAAATAAAACTTGCCAGAAGATCAAAGGGCAGTCATAGAGGTCGGGTGTTGGTGGCACACACCTTTAATCCCAGCCCTGGCTGTCCTGGAACTAGCTCTGTAAACCAGGCTGGCCTCGAACTCACAGAGATTCACCTGCCTCTGCCTCCCAAGTGCTGGGATTAAAGGTGTGTGCTGCCGCCACCCAGCTGACTTTATTATTTTAATTAACAATATGCATTTTTCTTTTTGTTGTTTTATTCCTTGGCAGTTTCATACATGTTTATAATGGAATTTTGTCATTTCACCCTCATTTCCCTTCTGCCTCCCACTCCTTTTTTTTTTTAAGAAAAAAAGAAAGGTTTGCAAAGTCAGATTTTATTCAAAGTGAAAACAATCTGATAAAACAGAGTCTTGACAGGGGAGAGGACCCA